GTTATGTCTAAACACTGATCTTTACGTGCTTATTAATTTAATCTATCAATTGAGTTTAATATCTGTATTTTTTTAAATTAAATTGTAAACGAACTCTTTATAATTACTGATCATTGTAAATTAATACTTTGTAACTTTAACTTCATGTGCATATGTATGTACTAATATGTATTTATTTCTATATATTCATTTTTATATATGACAATATACACCTTCATGCTTCATCAAATAATTATATCTAAATTACCCAAGCTTATATATGACACCTCAAGAATATAAGCCTATGGTTTCTTCTTTAGGTGTCTTCCTTCTGGATACATATACATTCAATTATAAAATCTGCAATCACTATTTCTTTTATTACATATTTGTACAATTATTGTTCATACAATTTTGAATACTTGTTACTATATTTCCAGAAAGGTAGACTGAATAAACTGATTGATTGATTGAGCTGCCCAAAGTAGCTGTGAAAGAAATGCCAAAACCAAAAAAGCTTAAGAAAACAGCAACAAAAGCTAAAGGAGGGAAGTCGATAGTGAATAACGATAACCCTTCTAAGCTACGACAGCAAACACAACACGAACAGTCATCAGATATAGGCACAATTTTATTTAGGGAAAAAATGAAAGTTGTGAAGCATGAAGATGGAAGTAGTGGAAGAAATGAAAGCGAATCAGAATTCGAAATTTTGGTCGAGAAAGACATGAACCTTGAATCCCTCATGAAAAAACTATCGTTAGCAACCGGCATTCCCCTAAACAAATTGTCTCTAATAGTTCGAGGAGAAACATTAAATGATTATCCACCAGAAACAAAGATCACCGAATTCTGGAGTGTTGAAGATATAGTCGCCATTTATGCAGTAAAGGAAAAAGATGCCCCTCAAAACAAAAGCAACACAGTCATTTATCACAAAGGTTAGACTTATTGCAATTTAGAGCAGTACACTAAAACAGTAAATTGTTAGTAATTGTTACTATTGGGTAAGCGTATATAAACAAGTTATAAACAGTTTAGTTATACAAAGCTTTTCAAAGAAGTCTCGATATCTCACTATATTATATCATTTGATGAACGGCTCGAAAAATGTGCAAAAAAAAAATAAGGAAAAACTGGCTATTCAGGATYTTTTCTCAATTGAGCTTGACATTTTATCAATCTCTCATTCAGCCAGAATTAACTCCTTTCTAATATTAAAAAATAACTTTTGTGACTAGCGATTGTCCGCATTTCAACCTTTTTTATACGGACATTATATAATGCAATAGAAATGTTGAAATAAAACTAATTCCTTGCTTTTACTTGCTATCAATGCACTTTTTGAATAGACTTTATTTATTTGGCAGCAAAACAGAATCACGAGCTGATAAGCGAGGACCACGATAAATGTTCAGCTACCAAAGAATCAAGGAGATATCAACAACATTGTACTATGACTGACAATATCATACTTTCCTAGGCTTCCTACATACCTGTGGTAATTGAGCGAGGCTTTCTTGTACACTTCAGAACGATAGATCACTTTCTTGTACTTTCTACTTCACGAGAATCATATATGGTTTTAATTCCTTTTGGTTCACGTGTTTTAAGCATCGCACGCACGACCATGTTCATTATCCAATTAGGGTCATGCCACGACATTTGTGTGATCAGTTGACACTCTTTGCTTTCACTGTCAATGCCTTTAATGTTCGTGAGGTGCTTCAAGCGACAAGGTCACAAAATTGTTATATTTACAGTCCCACTTAAGTTTCCTTTTACGTGTAAGACAAACCAGCGTAAAAGATCGGAAGATTTTCAAAGCCATCACGATCACGATAGCATGCTCATAGTCTGACGTACATCTGTCAGGAATTATAATTGCTTACAATTAATGTCATTTCCGGTGTTTACTTAGTATGGCTTTATTAGACTGCCAATAATCATATGTTTCGTTGGGCATAAAAAGAACATTTGCCATCTTCCTTGTTGATATCTCGATCTTCATCAGAAGAGTATTTTCAGGTCAAACAATTAACAGTATCGAAGGTTATGACATTCTTGGATCAGATTTTCGGAACTACAACAGGTGATGCAATCTATTTATAAAAGAACCAACGCTCAATGAGCAAAGATGATTGGGCATACAGGTGGTATTAGCTTTGCTAATATATGTTAATGATTAGTTTTGTTATCATAGGTCTTGTGACCATATATCACATTACTTGTCACGTGCGCTATTATACTACATTAGCACGTTGTATCGCTTCGTAGCTGTTAGCTAATAATCGTATATCGTTCATATCTATATTATAGTTTTTATAGTCATATTATCGTCGTTATTCAGTCCAAATGGCTTCAAGCAAAGCAAAGTGTCTGGGCTGCCACGAACTCAAATCTAACCACTCATTCGGGACGCCAGGAAAGAACTGCAAGGGATGGCAACCTACGGACACAGAACAAGGAATAACCAAGTCTACAGAATTGGCAATTTTAGAATCAATACGCCATCACTCACAGCAGTTCCAGCGGTTGGAAATGGAGCAACTTGTTATAAAAGAAACACTCCAAAGCAGAGAAGCAGAAGAGAAACCCTCAATGATGCCCGCCCCGTCTTTGCCAGGCACCACCAGAGAACTAATCGGCGCAACAAAACAAACCAACACTAGCAAGAACTAGCGATAGCTAGTGGTGAGTACATTGATCTTGCTGATTTATTATCAATGAATATGGCAACCCAACAGAACATCGGTGTATAGAGTCCTCAAGCGTGATGTCACGTTGCCATGACTTCGGAAATTTGCGGTCTAAACAAACCTAAGACACTTATCAAAACATGGCGTCTTTATCGATATCCTCGCTCTTTTCTTTCTTTTCTGGAGAACAGAAATCGATAACTCGATGAGAAAACCACTTGAAATCAAACCACGTGGAAAGCTTTATCTATTCAGGTGGAATTATCAAAGGTGAAGTTAAAGCAAGCATGAAAGATAAGATCTACAAAGTCACAGTAAGTTGTTCTTTTGAATCACTACACGTGCCCTCAAAGGTCACTCAAAACACAACTGTAAATCTCAGCTGTATTGCGTTGTTTATGTTGAGGAATTTAATTATTAACATTCTCTCTTTATCAGATTTATCTCGATGAAAACCTGAAAATAACAAACACGGAGTGCGAATGTCCTCACGGCGAGTTTAAGTGCAGTCACGCGGCGGCCATGTTTATGTATGGCATACACAATCTCAGTAGAACCGATGTGGAGTGTCAATGGAAGCGAAAACGACAAGCAGAAACTGTGCAATCTGTTGCTGAACTGTTTCCTCTGCCACCGAAAAAGAAAGACTATAGACCTTTAGTGCGTGATCCGAGCGGAGAAGATCGAATGTGGCTGTACAACGAACTGAAATGCTACGGCAAATTTACGGGCACATGCTGAATCTTGAGTCCCGAACCACAGGCTCCTGCTCCGCTTCCAATCAATACCATGGATGATATTATTTTCTCAGAGAGAATTCTTATGGCCTCTACGACTGAAGAACAACTAGAAGTGCTGATAGAGAATGCTAAAGTTGATGAGAATGTAATCAATCTGGTGAGCTCTCTCACAGCTGGACAAAGGAACAATCCTACATGGCACCTAGCCCGAAGGAATCGTCTAACAGCCAGCAATTTTGGCTCTGTTTTCCATGCAAAGAGAATCACTGCAACCCTCATAAAGCGTCTTCTTGGAGACTACAATTTAAGTGGAGTAAAAGCAATTGCATGGGGACAGGACAATGAGACTGAGGCTCTGAAAGCCTTTGAGAAGATAACTGGTCTGACACCTGTACAGACAGGCCTATGGTTGCATGAGTCTGGGGTTCTGGGTGCTTCCCCAGATGCACTTGTTGGAGATGACTCAGTAATTGAGTGCAAGTGTCCTTACATGCATCGGAATGAGACCATTAAAGAAGCATGTAAACACAAAGACTTTTATTTGAAGGAGACAGACAATGGTCAGTACACCCTGAGCACAACTCACATCTACTGGCATCAGTGCCAAGGCCAGATGTTTCTAACAAAGCGCCAGTATTGTTACTTTTTAGTGTGGACCACTAAAGACACTGTGGTCATTAAGATTAGGAGAGACGATTCATGGAGGCAAAATATTGCTATCCTGAGTGACTTTTATTTTCACCAACTTTTTCCAAAAATTGTAGATGGAGAACTTTGAGATAATGAGCCCAATGTTCAGTCATACAAGATAAGCAAAAAAATCTTGCAAAGTAAAAGCTTSCTATTGACTTTTTGGCTCTGTAGCCTGATGTGCTAAAATTGACAATGACAGGAAACCTTAGCAAAATAAAACAGTTCCTGTCTTTGCATTTTTTTTTT